CCTGTTAATGTTCAATGCTTTAGCAATACCTGTAAATTGTAGGTCATGCCAATAAAGCTATTTCAAACCTCTCCTCTTCCGTTCATTTCCTTTCTCATCTTTTCTCTTTCAAGATACACATCTTTAATACTTTATTCACTTAAAGATGTTTAGTTTTTTCAGAGAACTCCCCATAGCGACAGAGAAAAAACAAGGGAAACAATCAAAGGGTTTAGTTGACATTATGACAATTTATATTTCCTGTATTATTTTTGAATGCCATTTGAACAAAACTTTTTTAGAAAGCCCTAAACGAACGAATATCGTTAGCACTTCAACTAATCAATTCCTTCCTTAGATTTAAACGATCTATTGAAAACAAGGTCTTTCAATCAGTACCTTATGCAAGAGTCCTGCAATCAAACACACGTACAAGATGGCAGCACCGTGACGTGAAAATGACATCATGTCTAATTATAGTATTTCAAGGGTAAACATGTTGGTTTTGCCTAGTTTTGCCTTCCAACTGACTTAAGTCATGATTTAAAACGACGACTTGAGCTGCAATTTACTATCCAAAGTAAAGAAATGTATTCAGTATTTATATTTCTGACCCGAGCTTCAATTCACTATACAAATTAAAGTAAAGTCGAAACGGTTATTTAACTTATTTAACTTATTGATTTTTACGAATTTCCCCTAATTTCTTTCTTTGTTAAATAGAAGATTGCGATACAAAGTTTAATTAGATATCCCGGGTTTTTGTTTTTGTTTTTATTTTTTGCTTTTTTAAATTTCACCGTTTGGTTCCTCGCTATGATATTTTAAATGAATATTTTTCCTCGACGTTTTACGTCATTTGTTTTCATGTTTTTTAAGTTAAAAAAAGTAAAAGAAAGTTTAATATTTTTTCCAAACGTAATAATGATCATGTTTAACTTTATTCAAATAGCAATATAAAATTGAAAAACTTGAATTTCACAATATAAATAAAGATTATAAAAAAATTGAAATTATAAAAGATATATTTTGAACACTAAAATATTGCTAAAGGGCGGCATCCCATTTCGTACTTATAGCATAAGGCAAAAAAACTATCTTTGAAACGTTGGGTCTTACATTTAAAAAGGCTAAATTTTCTTGGATTTCTTAAAGAATAACTATGTGCATTTCGTTTTGGCAGAAGTTTTGTTAATGAACTGTTACTGACCACGTTCATTGTCATCTTTGGTTTATAGTCTTTGGCTTTCCTGGTTTACTTGCTGTCAAATTATAGCCATATTAATTTTTTTTAGTTCATAATTTTGAGTGTATGTGAAGACACAAAACACTTTCCAACCTCCTTAAATGCGAAAAGAAATGCATTGGCTACAACGGTTTTGGCTCTCAAAACACCCTAGTTAAAATCTACCACAAGCGAAGTGCAGTTCAAATGAAACATGACAAATTTATTTACTGCTTAGATATTTATGGCCTTACATTTATTTAACACAGCAGTTTGTCGTCTTTGAATTGAAATCGTGCAAAGTGTTCCCTAGTGTTGGCCGAAACTTTTTTCTTAAATAATTGAAAAGTCATCAAAAAACTATATGTTAGATGCATTATTTAGAAAGCAATCAATTCAAATTTAGATATTATTAATCTTTGCCAATGAAAATGGACGAAAAAAAATAAGAGTAGCATGAATGCACAATTAATCATTCGAACAAAAACACAGTTACAAAAAAAAGATCGGAATATTCCAATTTTTGACATTTCAAATTCAAGATTTTCGAAAACATTTCCACAAAAAATTCAAATAAACACCGATATTGTGCTGCAAAGAAAGATAAAATCGTCTATCATTTTCTCTAACATTTTAAGGATTACTTCAAAGGCCGAAGTTAAAGAATAATCTTCAATTTTTATGATTTCTTTCGTTATTTAAGCACGATTCTTCCCATGAATTATTGATTTTTCTCTTCTAACATTTCAAAAATTACTTCAACCCCAAATTTATTAATCGGAATAATCGTCAATTTTTCTTCGCTATTTGAACACGTTTCTTCTCTAGAATGACTTTTCTCCTCTAACATTTTATTTCAACGTCAAATTTAACTATAATTTCCAATTTTGTAAAATTGTATTTTCTCATTGTATTTATATATTTGTTCTTATATTAGTTCAATGCCATTAGTCTTCATGAAGCCCACTTCACAGCGCGGTTTTGTACAGTTTAATCCCTTTCCAAGTGAGTCCAGCACGTTTCTCCGTCTTTCTAAATCATAGCCTTTCAAATTCATCATGAGTATTTTTTTATCTCAACTTAGAGTTCTTTATTTTTCATTACTAGCTCTCGCTGCTAATTGCACCGTCTTCAGTAGCAAAGCGAAAACATTTTCGCGATACCAACAAAAATTTAAGTTTTAAGTTTAAATAAAAATTTATAATGAAAATCAGCTTTTGTGCTTTTAAAGATAAAAACAATTGTTACTGTTTCAATATTCTTTTAGATATTTCATATTTGTACAAAGAAAGCTATGCCTTCTATAGTAGATTTTTCATCTTACCTTAAAAGATCCGGCATCGATAAGTATGTTTTTTCAGCTCTTCACTTCAAAAAAACCGTGAAATGCCTTGAGAGGATTCTCTGCCTATCGCCTTTGAATACCAGCTAAAAAAACGAGAATAATAGCAGTGCAAACATGGTACAAGTCTTCAATACATGAACACTCGTCAATATAGATTAAAGTGTGCTCTAACTCAAATACATATTTGTGTCACTAATTACGGTAATAGAAGCATAAAAAGTAGTTTTAATTTCCTGGAGCCGAGAGTTCGATCACCTGCGGAGCAGAGAGTATTTCGCAAGGTTGTATTATTTTTGTTACCACACTAAAATAATAAATTCTTTCTTCATTTCCTGTCAAGAAAAATACCAGTTCCATTCTCTTAATTAATATAAAAATAGCTTTTATTTTAATGATTAGGATTAATCCCTCTTTTGGATTATGAATTATGGGTTCAATATCATTTACGATGTGAAAATCATGGTTTTTTCAAAGCGATAATTTTCATATTGCTATCAGGGCGTAATTTTAATATTTTGGCTTTGGAGATAAGGAGACAATAACACGAAATCAAAACATATATATCGATGTGAAAATATGAAATAAAAAAAAAAACGATTCAGTTTTAGGTGATAATCGAAAGTACATAAAATTATTGTTCATAATTATCGACATGCTTAATAATTGATTATAGGCAGTCACGTGACAGCCATAACTTTAACGACCTTATTTCTTGTCACGTAATTGACACAGAGATACTCCTCTTAAGAACATAGTTAATTGCTTTTTTCCACGATGTCAACGTATACATTGTGTACGACTAGTAAACTTCATTATAATTCTGATAAAGAATGTCCTTAGCGAACTTGAAACATTAAACGCTTCATTGTATTGGATGATATTAACGTTAATAACATGATGTACAAATGATGACGTCACTGGGTTGATTAAGTTGTTTCCATGGTTTCGATATTTTTGTTGATTTGTCAAAGAAGCGTCTCCAAGAGCAACCCTTATCTCAAGTAGAATTTCTCAAGTGGAATTTCGATAGTTTTTATTCACGATAGACGAAATGGGATTTAGTATTATAATGCAAATTAGTCACGGGGTTGTTGAGGGCGCAAACAACTTTCAACTACTATATTGATACAACTTGTTTTCCTGTAATTATTTGTTATTTTTTTCCAATAAACGACTTTTAACATTGCCTTTACTCGATTTGCCAAGACAAATGTAACAGTTCCAAAACTAAATCTGATGCAGTTTATCATTATTATTATTATTTCATTTATATAGTTTGAAACAATATTTGATATAAAAATTACATCCATGCAAGGAGTGAAATTGAGTGACAATATACCTTGTTCTGTATTTATACAATATTGTGTTCCTTGATTATAGACTCATTTACCCAGGCTAAGCCCCGAATCAGCGTCAAAATATCCACAAATACCAACCGTAAAGTAAAGATTGCACAACTTCAACAATTCAAAAGCTTTGAAATTCATCGGATTTTACTGGAATACGGTTTATTTTTACAGATTTAAACAGAATAAACTTTGAGAATTATATAATAATTAAAACACAATACAAACAAAAATTGTTTCCAGGTATTATTTATAGCACTTTTTATATATTTTACGGTTTATATTTTTTAAGTTTTTTTTTATTATTTAATTTTAGCTGTCCTTTTATTTGACTGGTTAAAAATTGAGGCATAAGTTTAATCAATCATTATAATCATTGTTAAACTTCCTTAATATCTTGTCCCATCCCTTTTCATTCCATCTCATCCCATTTCTACTCATACATCCCATTCCATTTAATCCCATCCAATTATTTCCAATCCAATTCCAACTCATCTCATTCCATCCCATTTGTACTCATACATCCCATCCCATTTAATCCCATCCAATTATTTCCAATCCAATTCCAACTCATCTCATTCCATCCCATTTCTACTCATACATCGCATCCCATTTTATCGAATGCAATTATTTTCCATCCAATTCCAACTCAACCCATTCCATCCCATTATCTTCCAGTATTAATATGTCGATATACTTTTCCCAACCCCACCCCACCCCACCCCACCCCACCCCTCCACAGTAGATATCTAGGTACTTATACTATTTGTAACATAACCCGGTAAGAAGTAAGGATAAGGCAGGAATCCATCGCGTACTCTCTGGTCGTTGTCATCCAGTATTTTCTTACTCAGATTATCCAAATCGTCATAGAATTTTTGTACCAGAACTTTGCCTTGTTCGTCTTCTATTTTGTTGTAATAATCAAACAGCTGATCCAAGTGGATTGAGCCAATGTTTGAGCATAACTCGGCCACTTCCTGTGAAAAAGAAACAAAGAGGAGTTTATATACCTTTCAGACCATGTGTCATTCCCTTGAGTATTATTTCTTTCTTTACTAGGAATGCTTTTCAGCTATGGTGCAATGGTTTCCCATTTCAGACCATGTGTCATTCCCTTGAGTATTATTTCTTTCGTTACAAGCGAATGCTTTCCAGCTATGGTGCAATGTTTTCCCATTTTTAGACCATGTGTCATTCCCTTGAGTATTATTTCTTTCTTCACTAGAAATGCTTTTCAGCTATGCTGTAATGTTTTCCCATTTCAGACCACATGTCATTCCCTTGAGTATTATTTCTTTCTTTACTAGGAATGCTTTTCAGCTATGGTACAATGGTTTCCCATTTTAGACCACATGTCATTCCCTTGAGTATTATTTCTTTCATTACTAAGAATGCTTTTCAGCTATGGTACAATGGTTTCCCATTTTAGACCACATGTCATTCCCTCGAGTATTATTTCTTTCATTACTAGGAATGCTTTTCAGCTATGGTACAATGTTTTCCCATTTTTAGACCATGTGTCATTCCCTTGAGTATTATTTCTTTCAGTCTTGATTATTTACATCACGTCACTTACCAATGCAATGGCTTTGTTCCCAAACATACTGTTGCTAAATTTAGACTTTCCTTCTGAATCAGCGAACAATCTGTGAGGAGCATTAGGAACAAAGCCGCCATACTCCAGGATAGGGTAGGTGACAGCGGCATGCTGACCAGTTAACACCCAGATGAAGGTGGATAGAACACCCGTCAGCTGGTCGAGATTTTCGATTTTGGCGGGAAATTTCCTGACCTGTGAAAGAAATAGGGAGAACGTTAAATAAGGTTAACAGTGTCCTTAAGCATCAGGTTTACCGCTCTAACCGCTAGGAACCAGGTCCAGAAACACGCCTGCAATCACAGACAAACACTCAGCATCAATGAAATTCAATATGGCGGCTCTTCCAGCAACAACTTCGTTATGACGCCTTGATAAATGTCGAACGTTTGACGGAAAACGCCTGACGTCGAACTGCAGTTTGAGGTTTGCGGTACCTAGCAAGAAGGTCTTCAATACAACGTTACTGTAAAATCGGAAGAGCTCTTTGACATACTAGTAAAGCTAGAGTCTTCCACAGTCTTCCGCTCTGTTGCCTGCGGCCGAACTAGAAACTGTAAAGTAGTCTAAAGCATAGGCCTGGTTACACAATTCTTACCATTCCCAGTCCCCCATCCTCGTTTTTGCCATCAATCGACATTTCATTCGCAAACTCTTGCAGCTCGTAATCCTTGGTTATGTCTTCATCTTTTTTATAATATCTGAAATGAATATTAAAATTATCGTAAATACCAGCAATAACGAAGAGTAAGTTACAYAACAGTGAGGTCCACAAAGCATGCGCAGCAGAAAAAAAAACTACTTCAAGGCCCTTGTTGTAGTTTCGGAGGCAACATGGTCGTGTGGTCATAACGCCGGTCTCGCAACCCGGTGATGCTCAGTTCGAGTCCCGCTGTGGCCACAAGCTGAGACTGTATTTGTGATGGTTTCTGATTAGTTCAAATTCAGTTTCTCAACCATGCTTGTAAATAGCCAACTGGTTTGCCTCCTTGCCAGTTGGGATTCTTAAAACACATTGTTTCTTTGATTATTTCTTCATTTCAGTTTCATTTCAGTGTCCTCAATTAGTTGCATAAACTAAATACATCGACACTTAAATAAAATTATTTATTTTAATTTTAATTTTAATTTATTTTGGAAGAGTTAACTTCGTGATGAGCCTCCCACACAACCGCAACCTCCTACATCAACACGAATACCATTGTCTACACTTTAGACAAGCACCCTTCTCGTGTATTGCAATTATTTAGGATATACCACATTAAATTCCAGGAAACTGAGTCCAGGAATATAGAACCCAAGACTCGAGCGGTGAATACACTAAGGCTATGCTACCCTTGATTTCCAATCGACTCTTCATGAAAGTGTATCATTTTTGTATCAGACTAACTACACACTTCTGCTTACTTACAGTTGTAAGTAATCCTTGATAAAGGTTTTTATTGTGTCGTAAAGCTTCACTCCATCGTCTCTGTACGGGTAATAAGGAAGGGTCTTCTTGTCCATAACACCACGTTTCTGAAAAATAATATAAAATAAATAGATAATAATGATGATGATAATAGAGACGAAGATGGTAGACAATGGTGATTATGGTGATGATACATAATAATGATGATGATGGTGGTGGT